GAGAGTGCTATCTAGCATCGACCCAGAGAAACCAGTGTGTGAAGAGAAGATCCTACTGCCAGAAGAAATGGCAGAAGAGGCAAAAGACTGGTGGTACTATGATGACATCAGTGGAAAAGAGCTGCTACCTGAGAAGGTAGAGAAAGCCAGAAAAGATGAGATCGACATTGTCGAATCAATGGGAGTCTGGGAGAAAATCCCAAGAAGCAAAGTTCCAAAAGGAACCAAAATCATTGGAACTCGATGGGTAGATGTGAACAAGCAAGATGAAACCACTCCTCTCTATAGAAGTCGATTGGTAGCGCAAGAGATCAAAAGAGGCTCAGGTTTTGGCGAATTTTTCGCAGCCATGCCGAGCCTTGCAGCATTGAAGCTACTGCTAACCATCGCAGTCAGCGATAGCCTTCCATTGGAGAAAGGCGAAAAGAAGAAAAGCAAAGCCATCTTTTCTAGGATTTTTAGATGTGAAGAGAGCTCATTTCTACTCCAAAGCAACAAGAGAACTCTATGTTGAAATTCCATCAGAAGGCAAGAAGCCAGAAGATGGAGATGTGGTAGGAAGATTGGTCAGAAGCCTTTACGGCACCAGAGATGCACCCATGAATTGGGAGCTGACCATTGCAGAGTTTATGAAGAAGCTAGGATTTGTTCAAGGCAAGTCCAATCCATGCATCTACTACCACGCATCCAGAGAGCTTCGAACAGAAGTGCATGGAGACGATTTCACGACCGTTGGAAGTTTTGATGATATCAAATGGTTTCACACTTCAGCAGCCAAAGAATGGCAAGTTGTGGAACGAGGCATTCTCGGTCCACCAGGTTCACCAAAAGCAAGTCAACAGATCAGAGTGCTGAATCGCATCATCACCTGGTCAAATGAAGGCGTTTGGTGGGAACCAGATCCAAGACATGCAGAGTTGATCATCAAGTGGCTAGGCACTGGTCAACCAGGCGAGGTCAAAACACCTTTGGCCAAGCCAAGTCAAGAGGAACTCCAACACGAAGAAGTTCCGCTGAGTGCCGAAGATGCAACGATGTATAGATCTATTGCTATGAGAGCTGCGTATTTGGCACAAGATCGACCTGATCTACAAACTGCTACGCGCTCGTTGGCACAAGGTCTACAGAATCCAACATCGAGGCACTGGAATATGCTGAAACGATTGGCTCGATATGTCAGGTATCGACCAAGAGTTGCACAGTTGTTTCCAAACCAAAGCACCTGCAACCCCTTCAACATGTGGTCAGACGCCGACCATGCAGGTTGCATAAGGACACGAAAGAGTGTGTCAGGAGGCGTGCTCATGGCCAACAAATGCTGTCTCACAACATACAGCAAAGGCCAAGGAGTTGTCTCCCTGAGCAGTGGCGAATCCGAGTACTACGGACTTGTTTCGGGAGCATGTCAAATGCTTGGAATCGCATCAACAGCAAGAGACTGGGGATTGTTTCCCAGCAAAGAGGTGACAATGGACGCTTCCGCTGGCATCGCCATGGGAAACCGTCGAGGTTTGGGACGAGCTAAACATGTTGACACTCAATACCATTGGGTACAAGAACTCACAGCAAAGAAAGAGTTTCGTCTCAAGAAGGAAGGCACCGACCGAATGTTGGCCGATGTGCTAACGAAAGCTGTCACCGAGGAGAAAATGACAACAGCCATGAAAGGCATGAACTTCCACTACTTGGAAGGTGAGCATGAACTGACTTTGAAAGCGTGAACGGCTTGAGCTAGAGTAGGTACATCTTGGTCTTGAAGAGGTACTGAAGTGCTACGAGCTAATTCACCGAAGTGCTAATCCTGACTCGCTTAACTTCTGGGAGATGTTAAACTCGGGAGGCGTGATCAGATGTAGCACCAGTTACATGTACATGACATAGCTTGTATAGATGTATGTTTCACTGCAGCCGTTTTGTGTTCATTTCGATACCAGAGCTCAGTCAAGCGTGAGCTAAAAGTGGGCCTAAGCTTCTACTACTCCAACCTTTGGGACAGTGACTTGGGGTCACAGAGTTTAAGAGCCTAAATTCTCCGTTCATTATATAGTTAATATATATATATATTACATATACCTGGAATCCATTTGGCCTTTTTGTTTGATAGGAACAGACATGAACAGACCATATGTTGGGTGGCTGGTGCTCCAAAATTAGAGGTCATTCAGGCTTAAGATTTTTTAAAAAACAACAAAATCCCTTGGGTGACCCTCCAACCATCCACCGCCCAAATACGCCAGGCCTTTCGGGTGACGCCTGGGGCCCCGCTGATCTCTCAGCGGCGATGGCTGCATCCCAGCAGCACGCGCTTCAGCATGGCGGGGTTGGAGGGTCCGGTGGCGGAATGGGGTGACATCGGTCTCAAAGACATGTCCAAGAGAACCATGGGAGAGAATCTGGTTGAACATGCTTTTGCTGAGCGGGCAAATGCCCCCAGCGCTCCCGGGGCGCTCCACTTCGACGGTCGCGGCGCTGGCAGGCGGTGAACCCTGGCTTTCCTGCCACCTGGAGGGCAAGGATGGACCCGGGCCGGGCAGCGGCCACTCAGGAACATGGTCTCCTTGCAGAACAAACGCATTTTCTGGTTGAGGGGGCTGCGGAGTCGTTTCCGGCAGCCAGAAGGTATGCGAAAGGTCCTCAGGTGGGGCAGAACATGGACAGATATGATATGCTAGAGTTTTGTTGGGTTTGATTTCATTCACTGCATATCAGTGATTCCGCAGCACTGCAGCGAATCTCCTGGCTCGAAGAATGACCTGCGAGGATCGGAACGAGTTGGCATGGGCGTTGCTCCAATCGAGGAAGTATGATGAATTTAAGAAGCTCACCTTCGACAGCTTAACTGCCAAAGAGCTGCACCCCAAGCAGCGGAACACCTGGCTTGTTGAGGCTGTGAACAGTGGCCTGGCCGCAAGCTATAGCTAAACTCAGGACAGCTATATATAGCTAAACTCAGGAGGGAAGATCTCTGTAGACAGGATACGTACCCCTGCCTGACCTCCACTTGTACTCGCTACAGCTTTGTCGCTGAGGATTGTATGGCATTGTAGTGTGTGTTCGCCCTCGATGGGGCCCACCCAAAAGAGCAGTGGAGAACCATGGTACCTATATCTCCATTTGTTTGGGAATGTGCTTAGGAGCAGCTTATGAACCGTCAACTCTGCGCGATCCGAGAGACATCGTCCAATCCATTGCGCGTTGGCTTAGCCGACTCCCAGTACTACCGGTCCTCCGCGTCTGGGGCGGAGTCCCGGAGGCGGCTTTGCGTCGGAGAACCTCGAAGAGGTGGAGGGCAACTTGCGCACCATCGATTGGCTCATCATGTGCCCCGGAATGCTTTGGAAAGGTTCAATGAAGCGAAAAAAAGGTGACGCCCATAGTGGCTTTGGCTGGGGAGCGGAGTGAGGGGATGTTTGATCTTTTTGTTTGGGGGGGGAATGGAATGGTTCAACTTTCGACTGCCGGCTAGTTTCTTGCGAAACAGTGTTTGATTGGGGTTTGATTCTTGATGTTACTCCCAACTAATGAACTTAGCTTCATGTCCACCAGGACTTATCCCAGTCTGAGCCCAACTGCCAGACTGAACTCCTGCCGCAGCTAAAGCCTTTCCAAGGTTTTCTATGACAAGTGCACTACAGTACTTGTAGAGCCAATAGTATGCCTCCCTTTCATGGCCGAAGTGAACAGCTGCTCAACCATCTCAACCGGTGATGGTGAGCATGTTTGCCGCAGAATGCCGTGGAGACAGGAATCCAAACCCAGCAAACTTCTTGCCCGACTATGCATACACTGCTCAATCAATCCGTTGTAGATAGTTAAACATATACATGGCCTAGTTTGTTACATGGGGTTGGTCGAGTTTAACCAAACGGATTGGTACATGCGGTTGTACTTTAGTTGGTACATGGGGGTTCCGTTTGTTAGACCCAATTCAGGCTGCCCCTCCTTTCGTTCGCGTCCGAGAGCGTCCTGGCTCGCGATCGCGGGAATCGAGCGTCCTCGCTTCGCGCTCGCGCCTTCAGCAGGGCAGGTGCCTCAGCTTCGCAGAAGTGTTGCGATCCGACACGGTCACGGTGCTTCAGCATGTGCGACCGGGGTAATGGCAAGGAGCTGAACGTGACTTGGACAATCGCTGTCCTGGGAAAGGGTTTCGGTGGGAGTGCGGGGGGTTCGCCAAGTGCTCCGATTGGAACCACCAGCCAGATGGCGCAGTTGCGCGCCAGATGCGGAGACAGTTCAGATGGTTGCTGATTGTTCCGGCGAGGTTGCATAGTGGAGAGACCATGAACATCCACACATGAAAGCGGATGAAATTCCACACTGGAAGCGCTGGAAACGGAACGCTGACAATTTATCCCGACAAGAGACCCCAAACAGTGTCAAGTAGAACTAGACAAGGGTCGTCCAGACTCTAGAGCGCACACACACACACACACACATGAGAGCACACATATTAAGTCAAACAAATGAGAGCACAAGTATGAGAGAGCACGCACACACAATGACCACTCATGAGAGAACATGTGGCGCTCCACAGCTGTCTCAGCACACAGAGCACGTGTGTGCCACCCGTGACGCTGTCTCACCCAGCCTTGACCGTACTGTAAGAACCCCTAGAACGACGGATCCACGGGTATCATGGATCCGTTTGAACCGTGGATCCGTCGACGGTTCACGTTCGACCACCGACGTCCGTCCACCGAGGTGTGGTACGACGGCAAGTCTGCGATCTCGTACATCACCAGCTGGCAGGCGAAGCTCCAGAGTCTCGGACCAGAGACCACAAGCAGTATGGGAAGATGCCAAAGCTTATTGCAGTTGATCAGAGGGAATAGAAAAATGGTGAGAACAGTGAACACATGAGGGTTGCTGTATATTTCGTATGCTCCGCTACCAACAAAAGTGCCAAAGAATGGGTGTACATTTGGGGATCATGATCATGATAGGAAACCTATAAGGATGAACTGCCATTGCTCGCCTGCTTGTTTCTGGTAAATGCATATATGGATCAGCAGCCTGTGAATTTGATCATTGACCCACCATATTTGTGCTGGCACATGCGGACCAAACCGAAGGCAGTGCATAGGTTTACTGTGTCCTCGCTTTGCCTCCGGACTTCCTACCAACTTCCACGGCTTGTGCAGCTCATTTGTCCCACCTACTCCTGCCAACTCATTGGGAGAAAGCCAAGGAACGAGCTCCTGAATTCCAATTGGTCTGACGAGTTGGATTACCTGGACAAAGCCCTCGAGCGGATTGCCAGGCCAGTTGGGCTGCCTGCGGAGGATGGGACGGAGGGATTGGCAGCCTGGCCGTGGGCTGAGCAGAACGATGGTTGACGATGGTTGACGTTGCTCAGTACGTTGCTCCGTACGTTGGATAGCCATTTTTTCTCTTTCTGGGTATATCTATTGAAGAATTGGGAGTTTGAGGCGTTTGAGGGTCAATGTATTATATTGTATGTTTCCCAACTTTTTGCACATTTGAAACACAGAACTATCGCCGGTGAACCTTCCGGAACCTCTAAGATTGGATCACGGAACCTTTCCAACAACAAAGGATGGGACTCCCATCAGAGCATTTTCCCTCACGGATTCGATCGGCGCAGGGCCTCCAACACCGAGAAGCGGCCGAAGGTGTTGATTGACGAAGGCGGCAGGGTGTACATGCTAGCTAGCAATGCTGGGTAGCTGGTCATGAAGGTCAACCGCTGAGAAATCTACTCATCTAAAAATTGCATGTAAAATAATAGAAAATATATATGAAAATATAGAGATACATGAAGATGAGGACACGGGGCAGAATCCGGTGCGTATTACCTCTACGGTTGCTGGTGAGTAGATCTTTAGCACTGTCAGGCGGTCTATGACGTAACACACGTCCGATTAAATCCACTGTCGGCGCTCCCATCCTTCCTTTGTGATTCTTCGTGACTCTTCATCGTTCGAGGCATTCTGGAGAACTGGGAGCGCTGCTTGCGCGCAACATGCTCCCATGATTTGACCTTGGACACAGCTGATGGCCCAGTCACCGCGCATGCGGTGATTCTCAAAGAGGCCTCTCCCGTGATCAAGGCGATGTGCCGTGGCAAGATGACTGACTGTCATGTTAATAGTTAATAGCTGGACCCTCCAAAATACTTGTTTTGGTCGGGATTTTTTTCCAGACATGCGGTTCAAGGCCCCTTTTGGCCAATGGATCCTGACATATCAAGAGCAATGAGATGTTGCAGCACCGCCAGGTTTGATGGAGAAACTTTCGACTCCACCGAATCACGCGAACGGGTCATCCACGGAGATGTGGTGGTCATCCATCTCGTGTGGTGTTTTTGGTGCACCTAGGCTGGGGTCGCCGATGAAAGAGCAGGAGACGCAGCATGTTCAAGTGAAAGACTCGCCCAAAGCTGGTGTCTCCCTCTTCCTGGAGACTTTGTACACGTGCTCAACCAGCACAGAGCCAGACTACCACACAGTCACCTGGTGATGGAACATGTTTTGGTGTCCAGGTGAGTGTGGTAAGTAAATAGCAGTGATTTGAGACGGTTTGGGAAACCTCAGGCATGTCGGCCGATGATGCCCATGGGTCATAAAACAACAAAAATGAGATTGGTAAACCGCGCAAAGTGATAAGGAATTGAATTGCCTCGGGTAATCCATGGACCCTCAGGGGAATTCCTACCCCTATGCAAAGTGCATCTTCGGGAAAGTTTAAACAGTGCCCAGTTCTCCAGCTGTGCATCTTCTCCAGCTGTCCAGTTTCGAAGCAGCCGCGCAGAGGTCTTATCGGCGCTGGATTTGGCGCACCGATGGCAAGTCCATGTGGTTGTAGCCATCCTGACGGATCTGCTGGGAACCATGATCACCGAAGAATCCTTCCCGCCCATCGCCGAGCATGCTGCGACACGTCGAAAACAGGGGCGGTGTTTGGTGCGAAGATGTCAGGTGAACAGGTTTTGGGGTGCTCTATGGTCAATAGAGAGTTTGCAAATAGAATCCGTTTGATGTGTGTGGTGAAGTGTTCATCCCCAATCCGGGCAGGTGAAAGATATTCTGGGTGATTTTTTGACCGCTTCAACATGTCATGTGATGGCCATCCAGAACCTGGCACATCAACTATACATCAACTATAAATACACCACTGGTTGCGGTCCTTGAGAGGCCGCTAGCTTTCGCAGTAGGACCGAAGGGGCAGCCAAGGGGGAGAAGCAGCTGCGAGGATTCTTTGGGTCTCATAGTTCTGATGGAGCGGATATGGGCGGATTGATTCTGAAGGTCCCACACAACGCCACAACGCCTTGGCGAAAGAAGTGTGATAAAATGCTTGTAACCTGACGTTTTCACGAGAACCTACTCAAGTTCTTGACTCCATCCAGTCAATGATTTTTTACATGTTTTTACATGCGGCTCCTGGCCTTCCAAGAGTCTCACTTGCTCTCAAAGTCAGGCATTGAAAGGGCTGGAGCCTTTGAAAAAGGCTTGCAGGAGGTTTGGCCACGACTCCTGGGTGATACAGCAGCAGCTGAAGAAGGGGCGTTTGAGCCGTGTGGTCAGGGAGCCCTGGGCAGCATTGGCATAGGCCGCCATAGGCCCGGGTGAAGGCCATGGGCATACTCTCGCTCCATAGCAATCTTCGAACAGGTAGGTTTAGACAGTCAAGCAATAGGAAGCAGAAGTCACATCCCGGAATTGTGGAAGCCAAATACTTGGAGTAGAGTATTGAGTGTAGAGCCTCCGTAGCTCGTACGCGGGCTCGTAAGGAGTAGAGCACCCCAAATAGAGACCATCAATGCTGGCGTAGGACCATCAAGAGATTTGATGCCTTTTGGGCTCGTTGATTTGAGAGAATACATCAACGGACCCCGTAAGAAAAGGATCGGATTGTCAATCCATATATAGAATAAGAACAACTATACTTAAGAACCATACATTCTGAGGGCATTTGGGGCCCATGCCAATCCCTTCATCATCCATGATGCAGGTGACCAGCTACCCTACGAGACGGTCACGTCTTGATTGGGATCGGGACAATGGAACAGCACCTGCCCAGCACCTGCCATGTTCTGCTTTAGCTAAGAGCATGTCATGGTTATGCCCATGGCCAAGCATGGGCACCCCCCCAAAACAAGACCTCTTCCTACGATGGAATTCCCCAGTGTGGATTCGACAACCATAGGAAACAGTGCCCTGAGTGATGCTCAAGAGTGGCTCAAAGTCGGTGCCCAGGAGCTTTTGCTACAGGAGGCTGCTGGAACCGCAAGGTCGGTGAGGAAGCGGAAGCTGCTGTGAAGGGCGCGACTGGATAGGCAGGAGCATGCGACGGGAGCTGTTTTTTTGCATTGGTTGTAGGCTGGTAGTTACTGTGTGATTGGTGAAAGCCACGCGTAAAAGCCAAACGTGGAAGAGGAAACATCCAATGAAAGAGAGCCATGTTTATAGATTGCAAGGTGGAACATGGCCCAGATGCAATCAAGCACCGGCCAATCCGATCCGATTTCACAGGCCGGATGCACAGCAGCGAAAACGGTTTCACCCAACATGATCGTGGAGTCGAGTGATGCGAACCGAGCAGTTTAAAAGCCCCCAGGCTTTGCGAACTGAAACATTCTGAAGGTCAAGATACAACGCCCACAATCTTGTTGCGGTATTGTTGCAGTTATTGTTTCAATATATAGTCAATAGTAGTAATAACAATGCTTTTTTATATTGTAGTTTTGCTTAAGGGATTATGGCAACTATGGCAACAATATGCAACTATATCAACAATCTATGGAGACAGGGTCAGACATGGTGGACACACACACATATATATATAGACTACAATGCCACACAAGACCATCTACTATTTGATTTACCCATGGGCCATTGCCAATGGAATTTCCAATGATTCAAACGATTCATACAAGACTTCCAGTCTTGTAGCAGCATGCGGAACTGGACAAAATGTGGGCGGCTTGAGAGAAAGACCGGGTGTCGTGGGAAGAGAAGGGTTTGATCACCTCTCAAACTCCACCTGGGAAGAGAAATGAGAAAGCTATTCTTCGCACCTCCCCGATAGGTCGTAGATTTTAGGGTGGGTTTATTGCACAGCTGTCAATCAACGGCTTTCCGTGGTGGTAGACAGCACCGATCTCGGGAGCGACCATCGTCGCTTCCCAAAAAGCGAGAACCCCGTTGATGGGTTTCATCCAACACCTGGAGGCATTGCGGTCGCAATTCGAGAGCTGTTTACAACAACCAGTCGAGTATATCTGAGATGCCCGATGGGAGGTTTGGTATACTCTGGCACATTTGGGACCATTGTGCTGATCAATGATAGAACTATATAGAACTCTTCGGATAGAAGACCAGAAGAAGGACGGCTGTTTGGCTAAGCCAAAACGCAATGTTGGGAGTGTTTGGTTGATGTTCCCCTCGCGCCCCACTCATGGGACAAAGGACATACAATACCAGTTCCCTCAAGAAAGGGGCAAGTTTTTGAATTACATGTTGGTGAGCTCACCTGATTGGCAGATTGCACTGACCATCCATGGACGGACTTCGTTTTCCAACATGAATTTCCCTTTGTGCTGGAGTCAGTCAAGGGAGGAGGTATCCCTGCTTCTATCAAACTTTAGCCAACTGTTCAACAAGGACGGCACCTCTAGCCTGGACACCTCTAGCCTTGAGAGCTATTTGAATATGCTTATCACTGATCACAGTTAACTTAGTCCCCCTTGACACCTCTAGCCTTCCAACTTCCAACGAGATGTTTGAGTCTGCTTGTATAGTTCACCTCGCAGCCAAAGAGTAGTCGTCATCGCAGAAGTAGAGGTAGGATGAGGGAAGTGGAGGTTGAAGAAGTAGCACTGCATTGCTTCTGCAGCACTAGCAATAACACGCAATAAGAACAGCATCAGCAGCAGTAGCAGCAGTGGGAGTTGGAGGAGTAGGAGGAGACTAATAGTTCTAAGCAGGTCTCGTGTATCCCACCATGCGCGCTTATCACACCACTCTATGACTCTCACTATATGTTTGCATGTTTGGAAAGTAACCATCCCTAATGCAGACGTTAGACGCTTGCTGAAAGATCGCTAGAATGGGTTCCAGAACAGCCTGCCGGCCAGGTGCTAGATGCTCCTAAGTCAGCCTTGGTAGCACATCCTTTGACCAAGGTGATGTGGACCACGATTCACGACAAGCCCGGCTATGATGACTTCCTGGAGTTGGAGTGACTTCGGCGAGATGGGGCCGGGATGGCTGGTGAAAACAACAAAACGTGCTGCCCCTAGCCCTAGCCAGCCCTAGCCTTCAATCCTATGCACCTACCCCAGGACTTCGGCGACATTTCTCGGGAAGACCGAGCAATAGATGCTCATGATGTCACGGACACATGTGCCCCCTATTGCACAACATGTTTGGAAGAAGCATACGGTTCTCTATGAGGCCATTGGCCCGCCCCTTACAAACATATACCATATCATTCTAACATTGACAAAGGAGTGCCAAAAAGTGGCAATTTCAAGGTCCCTTCGCATTAGGCAGATTCCAGAAAGGCCAACGACCAACAACACATCCCGAGATATCCAGACATATGTGGGCTTATACATATCATATCATGCTGGGCTTTTATGTCATACCTCAGATATTCACGGACTTTTAATATCATACCCGATGTGTCCCATCCCCACGGAACAGCGGGTACGTGTCATTTTCTGCTGCCTTAGAACGGGCTGTTTCCCGGCACCTCTACGAAACACGCCAGACCCAAGGTATGACGAGATGCCCAGAGACGAGTTTGGAGTGCCAGCGCATATTCCCCCAGAGATCTCCACCACCATTCGTCACACGCAACTGGAGACCGAACGTGGAAGCCGTTGGGTGCCGTTGGTGCCCGGAGGGTCTGAACTGGTGGATGGCCTTGGGTTTGGAGCGAAGGACTACCATGTTGCCGTTTCTTGTGACCACTGGTAGTCCTCATTTTTGGAGCGCAACTGGCCTTGCTAAAGGGTATGAGGATGCAAGCTATTTGTTGTGTATCGACTGTACCTTTGTTATGCGTAGCGATATCGTTTCAGGATGTTTCAGGTTAGTTGGCTGGGTGGCTGGGTGGCTGGGTGGGTTTATTTTGACATGCGAATGTCTAGTAGGTGTTCCAGCAGGTGTTGCTTGCTATGACCACCTGCTTTCTGACATGCTGCAAATTCCTCTCCGAGTGGCGTATGTCAAGGTCAATGCACGTGGTGTTGTGGTTTGTATCCCACAACAGGTCTCAAATTCACAGATCTATAAATTGTGTTTAACCCCCGCGCCAGAAACGACCCAACAGTAATGGTGACTTTATTGCGAAGATTCTTAGCTTTTATTGTTACCCTTGCTGAATCTGAATCTTGGGATATCCTGGATAAGGGATATACACATAAGGGTGATCAATCTGGAGTCGACGAGGCGTTTGACCATGCTTGCCCCTTTTGCATACCAAGACCGTATACGGGCCATTTGTTTCTCATGCTTCACTGGCCCGACCTGGTGATGGCCTCGGTGCATGGCCTCAGAGCATGGCCTCGGTGGACTACATGGACCGTCATCAGAGCTTTGGTCGACAGGCTCAGGCTAAGCCAGAGGTCAAGGGCGGCCCACCCAACCCGAACAACAAGAGGAAGAAGCGGTCTGTTGTTGTCTTCCTCAGGGCAGGGTTTGCGCACCTGCCAACAGCGGTCAGTGTGTATCGACCGTTGACACACTGAAGAACACATCCATCGACCTGAGTCAACTCTGTGAGATCCAGTGCTGAGAACAATAACCAGCGCTCTGTTTGATGGCCTTTGAAGATGGGTAGATTGATAGAGGAAATACGCCCAATTGAACAACCATAGGTTGTTGCCTGGGTTGGCCTCTTTGTCTGTGGGGAGAGGGGAAGGGGCTGAAACTACTTGCAAATATATTGCACAGGTAGCTGTGGTCAGGCTGTAGTCTCAAAATAGTAAAGAAACCACTTGCAAAATAGATAGAAACCATTTGCAAGAAATAAGGACACTATTCCCAGAACCACGAGCTAAGCTAAGCTAGCTTGAAGTGGTCCTCAGTAGTAACAGTAGTGATGACAGTGGTTATCAGTGAAAATGGCATGAAAGACATTCGCCAGTGTCGACAAACAGGACAAAAGGTTCCAGAGCTACAGCACAGGCCCAGACTTCCTATTTTGCAGCCCCTCCGCAAGTCCAAGTTGGTAGACCAACTGTCCCAAATTTCCCGCTCTGGATCTGTCAAAGATCGTCAAGGGGACACGAAACATGAACAGCCTTTTTGGCATCTAGTCTTTAACTACAAAATCCGCAAAACTCAAGCTGCTCAAATGTAGCAGCATAGCTCGGCCGCATTGGCACAAGCTTCATTTCTTGAACTTCTTTCCTGATTTTGCTTTTGCTTCAGTGGTCTTCTCACTGGCCTTGGACGATGAGGGTGGCCTCTGTCGCTTCTTCTGAGCAGGGTCAACTGGTGGCTCAGCAGATTCATCAGGCTGCTTCCCACGCTTCCGGGTGCTCTTGGAAGCATTGTTTGGCTGCCCCTCAGGCTCCGCAGCAGGCTTTGAACCAGGCTTGGTCCTTGCAGCACGCTCCAAAAGAAAGAAACCATCCGGCTCCTGTCAATTCCATTTGTTTGGTGTAGGTTAGTAAGAGTAAGTAGTAAGTAGTACTGTACTAGTACTATGTAAGACTATGTATATTATATACTGTATACTGTATACTGGATTCAATGTACCCGAATTCTGAGTTTGAATCTCAAATCTCTGAGTGATTGGGGGTTGCCTTGGAAGCAGCAATAAAAAAACTTGCCAACTCAAACAAGGAGTCTGCGAAGCAGTCAACTGCTCAAACTTGGACTTGAGCAGTGGCGGAAGGTCATTCTTTGACATTCCAAGCTTCTTGCTGAGGTAAGCCCCAACCCGGCGTGATGTCGTGAGCTTGTCCTCGTACTTGTCAGCATTGACAACAATCTCCATGGCCATCATGATGCCCACAACTGCTGCACTGGTGCCATTCAAATCCTGAAGAGCAGACAGAAGAATAATCAGAATCCAGAATCAAGAGTCAAAAGCCAACACGGCAATCAATTGAAGAAACACAGTAACAAGGACTCTGGTGTGACAGGTGTTTTGCCAGTTTGTGCCTCAATGCTTTGCATCAAGGACTGCAGCTCACCCACCACTTTCTCCAACTTCTCATCCGCCTTCAAGCTGGCCTTGCAGGTAACGATGCCTTTCATTGATGCTAGGGGATCTGACAGCTGCTCTCTGAGCTGGACAATGGACTTGGTCTCCTGGTCCACGTCTGGGTTGTTCGAAAACATCCAAGAGACTTCAGCAACTTTCTCTGGATGCCACATCTCTGCTGCACTGATGACTGGCCTCAAGTCTGACTTCAGTCATTGATGTTACAGAATCTAAATCTCAATCCAAAACAGCAAACTGCTTGTTTGACTTTTTGACTGATGATATGATGATTGATCACGGATCCCGGATGACTGATGACTGATGATGATGACATATCATATGGCAGCCTCTCATCTCTGAATAGAGTAAAGGTGGAGAGAGAACATAACACCAAACGACCAACTCAGTGAACTCCTAACTCCTGACTCCTAACCAATTGAGAATAGTGGCTGGTACCGTTCCACCAGCTTCTTCCAGCGCAGTGCGTCTTGAGTCATAGTCTGGATGTTGGTCCGCAGAACCGTGTTCACATCGCCCAGGTATTCCATCACAGCAGCCTTCTGGTCAGGCTTGACCAGATGAATCACATCCAGGTTGTAGTTGACAATCTTCACAATGCCTGGCATCTGCTTGCAGACTTGGGCAAGATCTGAAGGCTTGTTCTCAGTGTACGTGTGCAGCTGGTCCATGTCCTGCAGCGAAGCATGCATCTGAAGAAGGCGGCCGGTCAAGCCCTCCATGCCTGACAACATCGACTTAGCCTCTTCAATGCTTTGGCCAGTCTTGCCTTCCAACATCTTGAGCACTGCAACAGGCCCCTGCTGACACACAGCCTCCTTCAATCTCAGACTGGCCTTGCTACAGAGACCTGCCCAGCAGGAAGAGTGGAAAACAGACATTCGGGCAACGGAAAGGTCATCCAGCAAGCCCTTGCTCAACCTCCAAGCATTGACCAATGAGGCCCCGTCGTTGATGAACTTTTGGAGTTTATCCAGGGACCAAAGCAAGCGCAAGTGCATCTCTGGGTCATCCTTCAGAATGCTGGAGCAAACGTGGCCTCATCTGAGTTGAGTCACAAAGTAATGCCGTTTTCATGCACGAGTCATACCAAGTCATACAAGGACAGGACATGTGACATGACATCTTGCAACCCTACAGCAGTGGAAAAACATGAGGTAAAGGCTAAAGGTAAAGGTCACAGGTCAGGTAAAAGTAAAAGAAAAAGTCATGAGTCATGAGTTTGAGACAGTCTGAGTCATAAAATAGATAGAACAACAAAGCCCTGTTCAGGCCTCGAATCTGTAAAGATGGAGTCAAAGAGTCCAAGACCTCCTTCTCACAAACCTCCAAGGTCTGCTCCGCGGCGTCATCTGAAGGAGGCAGCCACTGGCGATCCAGCCAAGTCCCAAACTCCTTCATGGCGGCAACTCCAAAGTCCTTCATGATCTCACTCACCTCGAGATTTACAGCCTCAAGCGCTTTCTTGTCCTCAGACTGAGTCAAGGCAGCTTGGATGTCGACAAGGTCCTTGGCAGCGTTGACCAAAACGTGGAAGTCCTGGTCCGGCTTGGGGCCTTCTGACTTGAGAATGTCAATGAGCTTCCTGATGCTTTCCAAGACTGAAGCTGCAGCCTCCTCAGCCTTTTGCTGAGTCAGCACAGTCTTTGAGAGGGTCACTGCAGCCTCCCACAGGCTCCTGCAAGGCTGAGTCCACAAGAGCTGAAAACCAATGGTCGACATGGTTTTTGATGAACATGTAACATGACATGAAGAAGAAGAAGAATAATAATAGTCAGGCACCGGCACCAATCAAAAGAATGAAGTTCCAAGTTCTGAGTTCCAGCTTCCAACTAACACGCAAAAAGCGGCACGTTCTTTAGACGGCACGTCTCTTACACGCATTCCCTTGCCAAACTGAACCCCTCCTCAAATGTCCATTGCTTTTGAAGATCAGTGTTGCCTTGGCAGAAAAGGTGCTGTGGTGGGACACTGCGGTTTTGATGGCCATCTTGGCCTTTGGATGGTAGTGCTCCGGAGAGCGGGACTCATGGCCGGCAAGCAATGCACAAGTCACCAACTTCTGAACATCAATGAGGACGCGCAAAGATAAGCCGGAGTCGTTCTGAAAGGGCAATCCATCAACTGTCAGCACGTGTGTGTCCGTGGGGACTGAAGTCCTGGCTCAAGAAGGAATTGCATCAGTGGAGTCAGAAAGAAAAACTAAGTTAAACTAATGCAAAACCAAACTCAGAACTTGACCTAGAACATATAACATATTAGACAATTCAGCCCGAGTCAATGTCAATGGCCCGGCAACTCAAATGCACTTCTGAGTGATTTGAGCCATCAGCTCAAACAAAACAAAACAAGTCAAGTATTGCCAGTGACGGGACAGTCAGTCCGAGGCTTTGTCAAAACATGCTGTGCTGTCCTCAAAACATCAATATGCTGGAACTCCTCAGGCAAAGAATTCAGCAAAGCCAGGGTAGTGTCAAAAGAAGTGGTCCGCAGTCTGTCCAACCACCCACTGAAGATTGAATGCTGCAGCTGCAAAAAGAAGGCTTGGTCAGCAGCCTTGTTCTCGCACGTTTCGCAAGCTTTGCAGACTTGCCCAAGGAATAAGATGCTGAAAGGCTT